TACTTACTTCCGCCCCTGAGCACAGACAGTTAATCTGAGGAAACATCCAGGACCGGTCTAAGCCAAGTCCTCTCTGAGCCTAAAGGTAAACTTAGACCTATCGTGGATGTGGGATAAAAATGGGGTCTGTTGCCATGGTGATGATTACAGTACAGCACATGGTTTCAGTCCAACAAACGAACGCTCGGAAAAACAGCTCGGGTCAAAGCAGATTCACAACTTCAGCCATTTATGAATGAAACACAAAGACTGTCTTTTCTCTCCATTTTCAAGTCTCCATCTGTTTGTTTCCCTTCATCCTCTCTCACAGGGTCTTACGGTCTCTCTCTGGTCTCTCTCTGGTCTCTCTCTCTGGTCTCTCTCTCTGGTCTCTCTCTGGTCTCTCTCTGGTCTCTCTCTGGTCTCTCTCTCTGGTCTCTCTCTGGTCTCTCTCTGGTCTCTCTCTGGTCCCTCTCTGGTCTCTCTCTGGTCTCTCTCTGGTCCCTCTCTCTGGTCTCTCCCTCTGGTCTCTGGTCTCTCTCTGGTCTCTCTCTGGTCTCTCTCTGGTCTATCTCTGGTCTCTCTCTCTGGTCTCTCTCTAGTCTCTCTGTGGTGTCATTCTGGTCTCTTTCTGGTCTCTCTCTGTGGTCTCTCTGGTCTCTCTCTGGTCTCTCTCTAGTCTCTCTCTGGTCTCTCTCTGGTCTCTCTCTGGTCTCTCTCTGGTCTCTCTCTGGTCTCTCTCTAGTCTCCCTCTGGTCTCTTTCTGGTGTAATTCTGGTCTCTCTCTGGTCTCTCTCTGGTCTCTCTCTGGTCTCTCTCTCTGGTATCTCTCTGGTCTCTGTCTGGTCTCTCTCTGGTCTCTCTCTGGTCTATCTCTGGTCTCTCTCTCTGGTCTCTCTCTGGTGTCATTCTGGTCTCTCTCTGGTCTCTCTCTCTGGTCTCTCTCTGGTCTCTCTCTGGTCTCTCTCTGGTGTCATTCTGGTCTCTCTCTGGTCTCTCTCTGGTGTCATTCTGGTCTCTCTCTGGTGTCATTCTGGTCTCTCTCTGGTCTCTCTCTGGTGTCATTCTGGTCTCTCTCTGGTCTCTCTCTGGTCTCTCTCTGGTCTTTCTCTGGTGTCATTCTGGTCTCTCTCTGGTCTCTCTCTGGTCTCTCTCTGGTCTCTCTCTGGTCTATCGTTGTAGAGAGTGTGTGAGAGGTGGTTGGATATAAATAAGCTTCTGCCAACCCCCTTTTCAAACCATGCATGTGCTTTACAAGATGAACCGTCGTAAAAAAATGTTTGTGCAGGTTTTGAAATAAACTAATTGATTGATTGATTGATCTCTAGTCTTTCTCTGGTCTCTCTCTGGTCTCTCTCTGGTCTCTCTCTGGTCTCTCTCTGGTCTCTTTCTGGTCTCTCTCTGGTCTCTCTCTCTGGTCTCTCTCTGTTGTCTCTCTCTCTGGTCTCTCTCTGGTCTCTCTCTCTCTGGTGTCTCTGGTCTCTCTCTCTGGTCTCTCTCTGGTCTCTCTCTGGTCTCCCTCTGGTCTCCCTCTGGTCTCTCTCTGGTCTCTCTCTGGTCTCTCTCTGGTCTCTCTCTCTCTGGTCTCTCTCTGGTCTATCTCTGGTCTCTCTCTCTCTGGTCTCTCTCTCAGGTCTCTCTCTGGTCTCTCTCTGGTCTCTCTCTGGTCTCTCTCTGGTCTCTCTCTCTGGTCTCTCTCTCTGGTCTCTCTCTGGTCTCTCTCTCTGGTCTCTCTCTCTGGTCTCTCTCTGGTCTCTCTCTGGTCTCTCTCTCTGGTCTCTCTCTGGTCTCTCTCTGGTCTCTCTCTGGTCTCTCTCTGGTCTCTCTCTGGTCTCTCTCTGATCTCTCTCTCTGGTCTCTCTCTGGTCTCTCTCTGGTCTCTCTCTGGTCTCTCTGAAACAACATCAACACTATAAGTCTGGTGATTGTGTGTTTTTATTGTGTGTTCTTTTATGGAGCCATTTTGAGGTAAACAATTAGTGTTTCTGTGTACGCAGATGTGCGGCTAATGGCTGCGGTCTGCCGTGGCCGCACTCGCCCCGGGTCTAAGTGCTCCAGAGAAGGACGTCATTCTGGTCCTCACACTGTTCCCAATTAACCGCCGCAGACATTTCCTGTGTTTTAACCTTAATGCAGTTTGTCACCGGCTGCACCGTGTGGTTCAGAGGTCACATGACTCTACGGGAACGACTA